ATGTCATGTTTCTCTCTATTCAGGCTACTGGCATCATCGGAAGTCAGTCTGCGCTCAGACACAGAGCACCTGCCTAGATGTCATCTTGTCTAGCTAAAGGAAGACCCACCCTTAAATGCACATCACCCCATTGGTGTATCCCGCAAGAAGTAGGCTTAGTCCATCACTCTGTGGAGATGTCAGGAATTAACTGGATCATCAAGCGCTACCGTGCTTGGTTTTCTTAGACGTGAAGCTGGTCATCTGACTTTTTCGTTTTATTTTCCGATCATGGCTCTGATCTCATCCAACAGTAGCTCGTATTAAACTCTGGGTAAGTTTATTCCTGTTGATCCAGTTTTGCCCACCTCCCTGTCCTCTCAGCTGCCCACTGTTCCAGTTTCTACTTCTCTGAGACCCAAATTCTTTAGACTCCACATATGGGTGTGATTGTCTTTTTATGACTGGCTTATTTCACTTAACACAGGCAGGGAGGGGAAAGTTCTAAAGCCCCAGTGCACAGTAGGCCTCCTGTAACATTAAACAGGTCTTATGTACTTCAGAACAGGTAGAATACTGTTTTTGTTGTGTTTTTTTTTTTTTTTTTTTTTTGAGAAAATGGTTTCTCTATGTAGCCCTGGGTATCCTACAGCTTGCTTTGTAGACCAAGTTGGCCTCGAACTCAGAGATCTCCCTGTCTCTGTTTCTCACATGCTGGGATTAAAGGTGTGCTCCACCATGCCTACTTCAGAAGAATATTCTCAACACAAAGAAATAATAATCTGTTTCATGGGGGAGGGTGGTGGATACATTAATTGTCAACAACTGATGACAATATGCACCTGTATCAGAGCACAGAATTATTAAAATTTATCCAACCTACTGGACTGAGAGTGGTCTGGTTGACTGAAGCCGATTATGGGTTCAGAGAATATGTGACTCTTTCACAGACAAACCAGCAAGTTAACAAATCAGTGGAAGCATAAAGATCAGTCCCTAACTCCCTGATATACTGTGAACCGAGCAGATGGTCTCCTCTGTCACCATCTCATGGCATCTCGGAGGTCCCTACTCTTCTACGTGGCATAGGAACCTTTGGAGGTTATGATTTGGTTCAGCAAATATACATAAAAGGCAAGGCTGGAAGAGAAAGGGTCAGCAGAATGTTTTGTTGGACATGTTAAGTGTTAAAATAGACAGAGACACAAATCAATGTCTTAGCCTGTTTGGATAAATGCCATCTGTTACTAATAGCCAACGACACATATGAAGCCTTTCTTCCCAACGTAGGATGTGTGGCCAAAATGGACCTGTTGTGCGTGTACAAGAGTAAAGAGCAAAGGAAGACAATTCAGAGATCTCCTTGCTCATTAACCCTCAAGTGAGATGACAGTATACAGCGAGAAGCACCTCAGAGCAAAGTCGCAAAGTCACTCCTGATGACCACAGGTGACTGCACACTATAGAACAATAGCAAATCCTATGGGAATAGGTTTTTTTTTTTAAAACAAAACAAAACAGAACAAAACAGGAAATTGTATTTGCTTCATTGTGAGAAAGATACTACCAGTAAAAAACAAAACAAAGCAAAACCAAACAAGAAATCCCTAATCTGCTAGTACTTACTGAGAAAAGAGAAGGACAGGGAATGGAGGAGGTAGGGGAGGACATGGACAAAAAAACCCTCATAATGTAAACTACAGATTCCTTTTAGAAAGAACAGATCAACAAGACAGAAAGAGTAAAATGTAATACCAGCACATACTGGATAGATTTACTCAGAATCCACTGTAACGGTTTTCGTGAAGCTGTTTATATTTCCATAACGTTTAGTTTATGCTGAGTGAATGATTGAGAGTGAATCCAACAGCTGGCTTGTGTGAAAGTCTGGTGTGGTACACATGATACACATCTCTCCCTCACCTGGACTGACTCACAGAGCACGGAGCCTTCCCATGCACACAGCTGTAGGTGGATGTCACCTGCGTTTAGGACGGGCGAGGTGGTACAGTAGTCTCTGTGGTTTGCACTCGCTGTTCCTATTCTGGGAAGTCTCTCATACAGACCCTCCTGTTAAAGATCTCAGGGTCAACTCAGAGCCTCAATGGGACAACAGGAGACACCCTCCTAGGTAAAACTCATCTCCTAACTGTCTTGTTGGATTCCAATGAAGACTCCAAATACTGCCACAGTGTAGGCATTTCCTGAGGTAGGTAGAGATCACTGCTAAGCAGCAAGAGATAGATAAACTCAGGATCTTAAAAACACCAGGGACAACAAATACCAGACTAAGTCACAGGCCAGAACGTCATGTATCTCAGTTCCTTATGACCATGCTAAACCTAGCAGGGTTTGGGATGAATACACAATGCCAAAGACGGAGTCAACTGCTACCAAGGGAAAACCTCATGCCATGATATGTCCCCAGTGACCACCCTTCAGTACCAGTTCAGACACCCCACAACCTGCCTAGCAGAATCCCAGCATTTTTGCCAAGCTGACCAACAGTCACTAATGATAGAGGTCAGACATCTGAGTAATGAATTATCAGCTTCTGCTGGGTGGCTGGAGATACCGCCTCTGGTCTGTGGGTTATAATAACGCTAAATTACTTATCAGAAACAGAGAGCCTGCTTTTGCTAAAAGCATTGACTCCTATAGCCATGGCTACCTAATTTCTAATGATTAAATTCTAATATTAAAATGGGATAAAAGGCCGGGCATCTGTGTCTCCATATTGTGTCTGTTCTTTTGTTGCTATAACCTTTGAGTCCGACCCACTCAGGTCTGTATTTAGCCATGTTGATTCTTTGGGAAATGTTTTGTTCAAAACCATAAAACAGGGTGAATCTTTTCTACCTCTCTGGAGTGGATGGATATTTTTTCTGTCCTGCCCTTACGTTCTCTTGTCAGCTCAAGCACCCACAACCCCTCATTTCTATCACAATGGCAAACCAAACCACGAGGCCAAGATGCCAGCAACAGGAGGGACTTACAGTTCTGAAAATCCTAACATTCTTAGACTACTCACAAGCATGGGGAATGTAAATGCAGGATGCTGTGTCAACAGCAGGAATAATGCAGCTTTAAGTCTCTTCCTGATAGTTTGCAAATCCCAGGGGCAGAACAATTGCACATAAAAAGGAAAATACTCATTGAACCAAGTGATGCTCACCAAGCCTTAGCCCACTCTAAAAACATTAACAAAAGTCTGACACTTCCTTTGTTCAAGTAAACTGCCCAGTCATCTCTGGACCAACTAGCTGAAGTCAGCCAATAGGAATTGAAGTCCCGACACTTATCCTTGCCTATTCTGCTAAAGTCTGTGGTTCAATTACATTTTCACTGGTCACATGCCACAAGATCCCAGGGTCGGGATTCCTTCTCTGTCCAATGTTTGGGTTTCTTATAAAATTACTCACTATCTACCTAGAATTAACTGGGAGCTTGGATTTTATTCATCAACTTTATTGTCTGAACTCTGGAAAGACTCCAGAGAGAGGGAGTCAGCAAGGTCACTGTGTCTGCAGATCTAAAAAGAATCACGGTGGAGAGTGTCTGCTAGTGACAAAAGCTACAAACTGTTCTTCAGAGGTGAGCAAGTCAGTTGGAGTCTGCTTGCTACTTTGTGTCAGCAAACTGGGCCAGTCAGAGTCTACTTGCTACTTTGTGTCAGCAAACTGGGCCAGAGTCTGCTTGCTACTGTGTGTCAGCAAACCTGAGAACCTCTCCTTCTACAGTTCCTCCCCGGTCCAAGTGGACCAAGCTCTGAATTATTTGAATTTAAGGAATGAATGGTGGACAGGTGCTGTGATTGTTAGAAAGAAAGGGCCCCAGGGTGGTTGGGGGGCGGGAGGGGGGGGGGGGGACACCAACAGACACACACTGATAAGCTGTAGGGGAGCAGACCTTCAAAACCACACATATAAGGCATGACATTACACATATAGACTGTGCATCGACTGCTTTTATTTTATTCATGGGTATTGTCTGATGCTGCTCTTGGGGAATTTCCTATCGAGTAAGGTAAGTGTAATCCACTATCTTCTGTCTGGACACGAATGGCCAGGGTCACAGTACTGCTAGGATGTTTATGCTAGAAGCATTTTTCAGTTTGGCCTGGCTAAAAAAAAAAAAATTGTTTTTTTTTATTTATCAATTTATCATTTATCAATCATTTATTGATAGCATATCCTGGTATAAATGTTTCTAATTCATCTACCATTACTTATCTTGACCCTTAAGTTTGATGGTGTCTTCATAGAATTACTTTATTGGAGTCAGGCTGAATTTAATCATAAGGTTAAACACAGTTAAGAGGGAGGGGTTTTCTTCTTGGTGCTCAGTCGTTTTAGAGTTGTGTATAACTCAAGGCTGTATCGCTCTGCAGATTTTACCATGGAAGCTAGCTAAGCTTTCCCAGGATTCTACACCTAGAATCTGGCCATAAAAATACACTTCCTCTGGAAAAAAAATCATTGTTTAGAGGGAAAAAAACTGTTTATATATGGCAGGGTTTAAACTAACAAAATAAATCTGCTTTTTGTTGTAATAAAATGCCTAAGTGCCTAGTCAATATTACTGGTCTATCTATCTCCTGCCCCTTTATAATTTATTTATTTATTTTTTTAAAATTTTAACAGGATATTTTTAGGTCTCCTGGAAGAGTCACACCCACCTTGGCATAAAGGAATAAATTTGACTCCAAGAAATAGGTGTTTTTAATCTCATCCCAGAGTTTGCTTATTGAGTATCTAAATAGGGTGAGATCAACCAGAGGATGCTGGGCTGTCTCTTCCTGACCATAGCGATAGCTGTTTCTGTGGATTCTCACAGGATGGTGGAGGAAGGGCACACAGGCATGGCAGGAGGGATGGGTACAGCCAGGTACAGAACCTGTCTTTCTGTGTGAGACATAGGTGGCATTTGTTACTGTTAACCATGTGACTACATCAAGGGCACCCAATTCCTTGACAGCTGTGTGCAGCTGCAGCCAGGCTGGAGTTCCCAAGCTCACTCACCTGTGCTGCTCTGGATGGTCCTCACGGTGGTGGTTGTGCGTGGAGGGGAGGACGACCTCAGCGACACGCACTCATCATCCTGGGAGCAGCCCTTCTCGATGGCCCTCACATAGCTATGGCTCCGCATACGGAAGCAGCCAGGCATAGGCAGGTCCAGAGCTTCCACTGCCTGTGACTCCAGCTCGCTGAACACAGACTCACACACGGATTCGAACTGTCCGTTCACCTCCATCTCGCTCACCTGTGGCAAGATACAGGCTGGTAAATACCTGGCCCGCAGTTCTCCACCAACATCTCCCGCCCAGCATCTGGAAACTTCATTCCCCACAAGAGCAGTACCGTTTATGTATCATTCCAATGTGTATCTGTCTTAGTCAGGGTTTCTATTCCTGCACAAAGCATCATGACCAAGAAGGAAGTTGAGGGGGAAAGGGTTTATTCAGCTTACACTTCCACATTGCTGTTCATCACCAAAGAAGTCAGGACTGGAACTCAAGCAGGTCAGGAAGCAGAAGTTGATACAGAGGCCATGGAGGGGTGCTATTACTGGCTTGCTTCCTCTGGCTTGCTCAGCTTGCTTTCTTATAGAACCCAAGACTACCAGCCCAGGGATGGCCTTACCCACAATGGGCTAGATCCTCCCCACCTTGATCACTAAATGAGAAAATGCCTTACAGCTGGATCTCATGGAGGCATTTCCTCAAGGGAGGTTCCTTTCTCTGTGATTAACTCCAGCTTGTGTCAAGTTGACACACAAAACCAGCTAGTACAGTATCATTTCCTTTATGTCACAGATGACAAAAGAATAGCATCTAGCTGATAAAAAGATGACATTTTTAAGGAAGAGAGCTTTGGGGCTGGGAAGATATCTCAGTATGTAAGAACTCTTGCTTTGCCAGCCACGGGATCTGAGTTGTTATGTGAAAAGAGATTCCATGTGCATGTAGCAGAAGCATTGGGCAACTTGGGCAGCAGAGACAGGGAAATCCTGATAGCTCATAGGCCAGCCAGCCTAGTCAACCCAGGGAGCTCCAGTTTCAGTGAGAGCCCTTGCTTCTGTTTCAAACAACAACAACAACAAACAAACAAAAACAAAAAAAACCCCCACAACAACAACAACCCCCCCCCCAAAACCAACCAACAAACCAAACCAAACCAAACCAAACCAAACCAAACCAAACCAAACCAAACTGAAAAGCAATAGAAGAAGACTCCTACTCTTTGGTCTGGAACACACTACTGCATATTTGGATGCATGTACCTTCTGCCTCCCTCCCAGAGTAGAGCTTTGTTTCTAGAACAGTGAAGAAATGCATGCTGGGAAGGAAGCTTTGCCTAGTGCGTTCTTGATAATTGTATTTACAGTTTCCAGTTAGCTTACGTTTATTTTGCATGACTGGAGATGAAACTCACAGTCTCTTCTGGGTAAGCATTTTACCCCTAGGCTCTGTTCTCCAAGCCCTTTCTTATTGATAAATGGGAGATTTAAGAGCAAAATTCTCTGGCTCGTGGTCAGAGTTCATGTATTTCAGTGTAACTTTTTAGCAACTGCTATTTTTGTAAACTATTTTGCTATGCCTTTTGAAGTTCATCAAATAATTTCAAGGTTGACTGAAGCTGAGTGCACAGTATGAAACATACATTTTTAATTTTGTTTTGCAAGATATATCCTGTGCTAAAATAGGCCAAACCCAGATATGTCAAAAATCTTAAAAAGCACTATTAAGATTTCAAACTATTGTCACGTTTCACTTTTCATAAAAAATCCATTAATTAATTAATGTATTTATTTATTGCTTCTTTATGTAGTCCTGACTGTTCAGGAGTTCTCTATGTAGACTAGGCTGGCCTTGAACTCAAAGAAATCCTCCTGCCTTTGCTTCTGGAATGCTGGGATTAAAGATAAGTACCACCAGGCCTGACCTCATCCACAAACTTTTTATAAATATATTTATGAAGATATTTTTAAAAATCAGATAATTAAACAACAACAACAACAACAACAACAACAACAGATTTTAGCCTAATATGATGGTGAATGCCTTAGGAAGAGGCAGGTGAGTTCTAAGCTGCATACTGAGTTGTCTGTCTATTTCTTTGAGGCAGGGTCTCTCTCTAAACGGAGTACTGGCATTTCCTTAGCTGGCACCAGCAAGCCCCAGCTCTCCTATATTTTCTCAGTTCAAAGCTGGCATTAGAGACACGTGCAGATTACACAGCTTGTCATGAGGGTGTTGGGATTCAAACTCTGGTCCTTACAATTAAACACCAAGTTCTCTTAATTGCTAAGCCATCTCTCTAGCCTTCTGAATACGTACAGCTTAAAAAATCTTAATTAAATTTTAAAAAATTAATTAATTAATATTGTGCATGTGCATATGCACACCTGTGGGTGCCTGTGTCACAGTTGCCTGTGGAGATCAGAGAACAACTTGCCAGACTAGATTATCTCCTTCCACCATGAATACCCAGGTATCGAACTCAGGTTATCGAGCTTGGTGGAAAGCACCTTCACCCAGTGAGTCAACTCAACTCTTTGGCTCAGCCCTTGAATCAGAACCTGTGTTAAGGATCTGCAGGGGTTTGTGTATTTTATATGTGACTCAGTCAAGCCTGAAATAATTTCAAAGCCATTTACTCATGTATGTGCTCATAGCTATAACTTTTCCCTTTCAATTACTGTTGTAACAAATATCACAAAGAAACAGTGAAATAGCTATCCTTGTTCAGGTTGTAGACATGAACCTTGAGTGTCTGTCTTTCCAGAGGGTTAATATACCTTCTTACCTAGTTTTAACAAAACCTGAATCATATAGTAAATATAATTCAGTAACTTGCTTTTATTTTGCTGAATCATCTAGGATAAACACACATCCTTTGTTGTCCCCTTTTCTATATAGGCATAGAAACTAATGTCTAACTTAACAAGTAATAATAACCGAATATCCTTGGAAATACTAAAAAAAAAATCAAGAAAGGGAATTTCCAAACCACCTTATAGCCCTCCATATGCCTTATCTTAATGACAAATCATCTCTAATTTCTACTTTATCCATTTTTAAAAATGGATAGATAAACTTTTTAAAATTTTTTTAAAAGTTTTGTTCACCCAAGTGTGAATCCCTGGGCCCTAAAGTTTATTCATCAAAACCAATCTGATACACAGGTTTTGAAGGGAATCAAAACCCAGGGCCTCCTGTACGCTAAGCAAACAGCATTATTAGTGGTGTCCCCAGTCACCAAAATATCATTTGTTTAAAAAATTAATTTACATTTATGTTTAGTATGTATTTATGTACATGTATGTGTATATGTGTTATGTGTGTGGGAGTGTGTGCCAGAGTGTGCACATGCTCAGAAGACATCTTGTGGGAGTCAGTATGTAAGTATCCAATCAGCATATCTTTAGATTGTATTGTGTTAAGAAGGCTTTATTTTAAATATTGTTATATGAGTTTTATAAATTGCTAATTTTTTTTTGGGTTGCAATTGGGACAGTGCTTAAAGTGGAATTAGACCTATTTCTGCTGTTTATTCTTTATATCTGTGTGAAGTGGGATTCTCAGCACCAATGCTGGCTCGCTCTGAAAACACCTGCTGTACTCTCAGCCCTGTTATCAAATCATTCAGCCGAGATCTTTAGCACGGCAATTCACTTTCATCTTTAATAAATAGTACAATTAGATATATACTAAAGTATTGGTTTAAAACAAATTTATGCTTTATCATCGGTAAGTTTGTACACCTGTTTTATGTACTCAGATGCCTGGAGTTGCACGGAAAAAAATTTCAAGCATAAAGGGCTCACATGTTCAAAAAGTTTAAGGAGTCTACTTGAGTGTAATTACTTTATAAAAAATTAAAAAAATTTTATAAAATTTTATAAAATTTCATTTGGATCCTTCTTCGGAGCCTTTGGTGAATAATGTCAGATTTTAAATAGGAACAGAGTACAATTTGCTTAAGTTCAACGCTATTCTTCTATTCATATATATTAATACATGTAATAGTAGGTGAGAGAATAACTCTCAAAGCAACTCACAAAAGCAACTTTAGTTTGAAAAGTCATTTTTTTTTATGGTTCAGTGACTTTGAAGAAGAAACTGTTCTCTGAATAATGACAGTGTTGCAACTGTAACAGGAAGTTTGAAATTGTCGTTAAAGATAATGTGTTATTTGAAAGTTGTATATGGTGTTGGAAGAACGATGTGTCATTAGGACTCCATTAAGGATGGTTATTCTTTCTGTTTTTTTTTTTCTTTTTACTTAAAGTCAAATGACTGCCCTGTGAAATTGCAGTGCTTGACCCAAAGACAGCATTAGTCTTTTCTATGCCCGATATCTTAGTAAGCTGTAAACAGGAAATAATGTGCCAAGGAAAGCCATATCCACAGCAGAGAGAGACTTGAGGTGGCCAGCTGAACAGCTCAGTGTCCTGCTGGGGGACATGACATGTTCTCCTGTTCTGAACACATTAAGGTTATAAAGTTATAAATGTGTATAAATTTTTTTCACCATTTTATTTTATTTTTTGAGATAGGGTTTTATCATCTAACCCCAACTGGCCTGGAACTCGATATGTACACCAGGCTGGCCTCAAACTCATAAAGATCTCTCTGCCTCTGCCTCCTGACTGTGGGATTAAATACATGTGTTACCCATACAGAGGTTTATACAAAGTTTCAACTTACAGATACATTCTGTGTGCAAGTCCTGCCTCGGTGATTGGCTCAAAGTGTAACACTTGGATGATTATGATTTTGCCAGTGATGTCTTCCCTAGGCATGGCCCCCTCAAGCAACACTGCAGAAAAAGCCTCCATCAAAACCATCCTGAAAACTGGCTCGTTGTGAATTTCCAAGAATTCCCTCCTCATGCCTGACCCATCTGCAAAGGCCTCCTCTTCTCCTAGACCATCAAGACCAGGGGCTTGCTTGGGATGAAAACTCGGCCAACCGGAAGCATCTGGTTGCATTTTTGCAGACTCCATCAGTGGTCTATGTGTCGTGACCACCTCTGCACCCTTGCCCTCCGCGTTCTCCCCGATAACAGCACGTGGCCACAGAGGCTCTGATGTGCTCTCACCTGGCTTATGGTGCTCATGGCTCGCATGTAGCTCTCGTTTCTGGAGCGGAACTTTGGTGATGTGAGCAAGCCTGCAGGGTCCAGGCTGTCCAGGCTTCTGTTGATGGAGACTTCACTTACTGCCCTCAGGTAGCTGTGACTCCGGATCTGGAGTTTGGGGGAGTGTTCATTGGAGATCCTGCAAGAGAACAATGGAAACGTTCAGGTGAATGTTCACCAGAGATCCTGGAAGGGACAGACTCAATGAGGACAGTGATAAGCCGTGGCTGTCCTTTGTGCAGGACTCTGAACACCAGGACAAACACTACCGATTTCTATGATTCTTAAGTTCAATATGGTGGCTCAGGAGAAAAAAAATCTTCTTTCAGTTTCTATTCTTGTTTCCTTTTAAATTTAAAATTTGTATTAATCGATATATAATAATTTTTTGTAACACATACGGCTCATGGTGAGATATTTTCGTGTATATATTTAATATATGATTATATAAAAATAAGTGACATAGCCATAACCTCAAACATTTATCATTTCTTTGTGCTGGGAACATTCAAAATCCTCTCTCCTAGCTACTTTAAATGTACATTTTATGGTTGTCAAACATAAGCACCTGACTATCCCATAGGACATTAGAAGCTATTTTTCCTATTTAAGCAGACCTATGTGTGCTAAGGCACACATAGGTCTTTATTCCCTACCCATTTCCCCAACCCTCTGGTGTTATATTCATGACTTCTATGAGGTAAACTTTCTAGGCATCAATACACAAGCAAGAACAGCTTCCACCCACGTAGTCATAAATGACACTCTAGTTCCTTATAATAGCTGACTAATATTCCATTGTGTATATGCACCGCATGTTTTCTTTGTTTATTCTTCAGTTTATGAATTGACATCTAGGTGGATTCTAGATGTTCGCTATTTTGAATGAAGCCACAATGAATATTAGAAGGTTGATGTCTTTCTCAACGTAATAATTTTATTTTCTTTGCATATACATAACCAGTGGTACAACTATTAAGTTATCTGGTAGCTTTTATTTCTACTCTGATGAGGGGTTACCATATTGTTTTCTGTGATGGCTGTGGTGATGATTTTAAATTTTCACCAACAGGGTGTGAGACTTTCCCTTTTATTCACAAAAGGAAATCTTCCTTCCCCCCTCCCCCCCATTAAGAGAGGGTACTATGAAGCCCAGGTTAGCCCCTAGATTGTAATGTAGCTGAGGCTGGTCTTTGACTTATGATTCTCCACTCTCCATTTTCCAAATGATAGGATTTCAGATATGTGTTATTACACCCATCTTAGAAGGAAATCTTGTTTTAGGAAATTATTAGGGTTGATGACATTAAAGAACAATCAAAAGTCTCCTTAACCATATAAAATTTCCCCTATTAATGCTCAGACATCCTGAGGAGGAAGAAAATATCAGTGGCTGATCTGTTTCAGAATTCTGTGTTTGCGATATATCAGATTTGCCTTTGTATGCATTTGTTTCCATTTTCTGTCTTTGCACGTTAGTAACAGCCAGTAGGTCTGTATCCATACCTGTCTACACATTCATTGGCTTTCTCTCACTCACTAAATCAATTACCCATCTAACCTTTAATTCTCTTACATAATCGAGATTGAACTTAGGGGAGAGAACCCTGAAGTCTTAGCTGTTGAAAATGCACATATCTCCGAATCTGATCTATAAAGACAACTCTTCCTATACATTATAAAGATTAGCCCTAAATGCACTATAGCAGCATAGAAATTATGAAATCCTCAATGAAATGTCAAGCCAGGGATGGGGAGATGGCTTACTTAGTCAAATATCTGCCAAACAAGCCTGGGCCCTTGGGTTTGGATCACTAGAACCCACATAGAAATCTAGGCCTGATTCACAGAGCCAAAGTGCTACAAAGGCTACCGTGAGAGAAATGTTATTGATAGACTTACCCAGCAGTGAGCCTTGTATGCCACAATGCTTGCTTGCCAGATAAGATGTGCCTACTGGTAAAATACTGGCACTGTTATGGGGACAACCAACTACTTTCTGATAGGCTTCGAGGCCCATTTCACAAGAAGAAATTGCGCTTGGCTAATAGTTCACGTATGGTGGGGACAGGCATAGACCCTGAGGGCAGGAAAACCTGTAAGTGTTGTTTTACTAAGTGAACATGTTGTCAAACTGCCTTCTAAATAGTTTTGTTTATACCTAGAAAGCTATGAAAGCAATGCTACTCTCAGCCTCGGCTAGAGACAGTTGTTTGCATAGTGGGTAGCTCTCAATGCCGAGACTCTTCGCTTGTCAAAGCGCTGTGAATAAGAGACTAAAGAATTCTCAGCCCTAAACGGGACATTTATACCATACTCTCCAAGATTCAGTGAACATTATGGAAGAGGGGACAGGAAGAATGTCAGGCCCAGAGGATGGGAAGGAACACTATGGAATGCTGTGTGCTGGATGCTACATGGCAGGCGCTCTTGTGAACTCACAATGGTGATTTCCTGCACACATCTGAAGAAAAATCAAGTCAGTGAACATTCTGGTACAGATGAGGGCGAGGCCCTGAGGCACTATGCCTGTTTGGGGAGCTATTGTCTGCTATTGATCATGTCCCACTGGATGGATAGTCTCATTCACATAAGCATTCAAATCAGCGGAGATGAACTATTTACTAGTGGCATTAAAAGAAGTTAAATATTCATTCTGGGCAAAGCACATTACTGATATCCATGCAGATTAAAAACATTAGAAGCATCTTAAGTAACATCTGGAAGAAAATCAGATCTAGTCAACTCTGGGAAAAAGCTAAGTAGAGCTCATTGAATGAAAATAAATATGAAGGTTCACAGGACAATAGGTTGATATGCTACCAGGCACATGACAAAGTATGCAGTCTCACTAGAAACCAGGAAAATGCTGACTGAAAAAGATGTTTCAGATGATGATGAAAACTGTATACATGTTTACACAGTATATCCCCGAACACCCGTGGGAGGTGAGAACATTCCAAATATCCTTTAGAAGGCAAAGTATAAGATCACACCTACTCATAAAGCTTACATGAAGCTGTTTATTAAACAACATCTGAGAAATATATTCAGGATAAAATCGAAACCCCAGGATTAGCGGCTTTTTTTTCCTATTACTTGTACAGGCAAAGAAATGAAAACAGATGTAGGATAACGTGTCCAAAGGAAACGCTGTATTTTATTACAACAAGAAAGAAACAGACCATTCTAGAAACCTGTCCTATAGGTTTTCTGGGCAGCTCCCAAGCATGAAGACACCTTTGCAGGGCAAGTGGATATTTTCTACGTGCTATGTGCTAGTCTGGTGATTTATACAAGATCACTTTACAAACGCCGTGCCAGGAATTCTACCAAACCAGCCAGCTTTAGTTCATTTGTCTCAAGGATCCTTTTGCCAAGATGGTTTTAAGCATCCATTAGCTAAAGTTCATCTCTGCTTAGAACATGATCGCACGTTGACGGATGTGTTTCTTTGGCTATCTTGCAAAATGCCCCAGGGTAATGATGACACTTCCCAACGTAGATGGTAGTCATCAGGGAACAGTGGGGGTGGGTCTTCATAAACAGAATGTATTCAAAAGAAGAAACAAAGTCCTGTTTTTGAAAAGTAAGCCTCTACTGGCTGAGAAAAATGAGGCATTGTTGTGACAGTCACCCTGGTCACTTGTTGTAAAAGAAAGCATTATTCCGGAATTTTAAAGTGGGGAAAAATCATCAAGAAGGAACTGAATAGCTCTGTTTCCGTGAGTCACTTCTGATCAAAACAACGCATACCTTAGCAACCCACTACACGAGAGGAAATGAACTTTATCTTATCCAGAAGGTAGAGGCTGCAGCTATCCACACAGAGAGCACAGGACACACCAGACCAGCACTTCCTGGTGCAGAGAAGACATTAATTACTTTTCAGTGTCGGCTTCTTGAAATGAGAACAGTCTTTCCCCATTGTCCTTCCCGGGTCTTTTTGAAGTCCATCAAAACTGAAGTGGGGTTTTGGTATTGCTGGGCTGGAGAACTCCATTCACTATTGCAGCTACTTAAGAGACAATCCTTAAGGAAGCTCTGGGGTTGATCTTGATGCTGTGATTGCAAAGAAGATTCTAGAAGACTCAGTCCAGGAAGTTTCAAACCAATGGCTCAACTTTGTAATACAGACTTAAAAATGACTTCAGGTGATTAGTGGTGGTGGCTCCTCCTCCTCCTCCTCCTCCTCCTCCTCCTCTTCTTCTTCTTCTTCTCTTCTTCCTTCTCCTCCTCCTCCTCCTCCTCCCTCTCCCTCTCCCTCCCCTTCCTCTTCTTTTTCTTCTCCTCCTCCTCTTCCTTTTCCTCTTCTTCCTCTTCCTTTTCTTCTCCCCCCTCCTTTCTTTCTTGCAGAGAATTAATTTCAGATGACTTCATCTAATGGAAGAGTCTTGGGAAGGGTCATCTTTTGTCTTTTTTTTCACCTCATCTAGCTCCGACTCCTACAACATCTGGTCTGTAAACTGATTCCACACAGCACAGAGGAAATGCCTGGCTTTCCATTATTCTGAAAATGAAGACATTTGATCTCGACCATGACATCCTTTATTAAACTGTGCTCACATTTATAGCTTAAGTGAGGAGGTGCTGATTCATTGGGCTTTAGGGTAGAAGATGGTCCTTTAGTGAGTGGCTATACAAGTTTTTGAGACTCTTATGAGTAAAACTTCAGTAAAACTGAGACCAGCTTTCTCTTCCTCACCCTGTGTGTCATGCCTTGATGGTGTACCTTTTGATCAAGCTGTTACTTGAAGAGGCGTCTCTTGAGTGATTTCCACCTAACATTTGTGACAATTTGTTAAACACTTAGGTATTGCTAATATCCTGCTATGTAGGAGTCTACACAGTGTTAAGTTAATTTAGTTACTTATTATAAAAATTAGATATTGAAACAGGGTCTCATTAATCTATCCAAGGCTGGCCTTGAACTTGAAAGCCTTTTGCCTCAGCTTCCCTCATGCTGGTATTGCTTATGGGCAGGTGCCACCAAGCACAACTTGTTGAAAGCAACTTAAATAGAACCTTTAATTTCTGACTTCTCCATTGTCTTGAATAAGAATGGCCTCCACTCCATAGGCCTCATACAGTTGAATGAGGAACTGGGAGTAGAACTCTCTGATAGAATTAGAAGGATCA